TGCCCTTTGGTCTAACTAACGCTCCAGCCTGCTTCCAGGCCCTCGTAAATGATGTTCTCAGAGACTTTCTCAATGTATTTGTTTTCGTGTACATTGACGACATTCTCATTTACTCCAAGAACCTCGATGAACACAAGAAACATGTCCGCCTTGTTTTGCAGAGACTGCTGGAGAACAAGCTGTTCGTGAAAGCCGAGAAGTGCGAATTTCATCAACCTTCAGTCACCTTTTTGGGGTTTGTGCTCGAGGGCGGCCAGGTAAAACCATCTGAGGACAAGATTAAGGCAGTATTAGACTGGCCAGTTCCAGAGAACCGCAAACAGCTACAAAGGTTTTTAGGTTTTGCTAACTTCTATCGTCGGTTTATCAGAAACTACAGCCAGAGCGCCCTTCCATTAACTTCTCTGACCTCTGTCAAACGCATTTTTCAGTGGACTCCTGAGGCTCAAGCAGCGTTTGATAAATTAAAATCCTTGTTTTCCAGATCACCTGTGCTTATGCAACTTGACCCAGCGAAGCAGTTTATTCTTGAGGTGGATGCTTCAGATTCTGGTGTTGGAGCAGTCCTATCCCAGAGACTAGATTCAGATCAAAAGATACACCCTTGTGCTTTCTTCTCCCGTAGACTTTCTTCTGCAGAGCAAAATTACGATGTGGGTGACCGAGAGCTTCTGGCCATTAAACTGGCGTTGGAAGAATGGAGACATTGGCTGGAAGGAGCTGAGCATCCGGTTCTTGTATGGACTGACCACAAGAACCTGGCTTACATCCAGTCAACCAAACAGGCTAATCCTCGCCAATCCAGGTGGTCAATTTTCTTCTCTCGGTTCAATCTTATCATCTCCTACAGACCCGGATCCAAAAATGTCAAGCCCGATTCTCTCTCTCGTCTCTACTCCGTCGATCATCCCGAGACACCTGAACCTGTTCTTCCGGCTTCCTGCACAGTGGGGGTGGTCAACTGGGAAATAACTGACCTCATCAACTCAGCCCTGGCCACTGAACCCGATCCAGGAAACGGTCCCACTAACCGAACCTATGTTCCATCTTCCGTCAGGTCCCGTCTCATCCATTGGATGCACGCCGCCAAGTTCTCTGCTCATCCAGGAGCAGAACTGTAGCCCTCATCTCAAGACGCTTCTGGTGGCCCACTCTCCATAGGGACGTCAAGGAGTATGTGTTGGCTTGCCCCACATGTGCCCGTAACAAAGCCTCACACCAACCTCCTTCTGGCCTGCTCCAGCCGCTTCCTGTTCCCTCGCGTCCTTGGTCCCGTATAGCCATTGATTTTGTCACCGGTCTCCCTGTCTCTCGAGGTATGTCCACCATATTCACCATTGTTGACCGTTTCTCGAAGTCCTGCCATCTTATTCCCCTTAGAAAACTTCCCACGGCCTTCCAGACAGCCCAGCTCCTTATCAAGCATGTTTTCCGGCTACACGGCATTCCCCAAGAGATCCTCTCGGACAGAGGCCCTCAGTTCATTTCCCAGGTCTGGAAGGCTTTCTGTTCTGCCCTCGGCTGCAAACCCTCTCTCACCTCTGGTTACCACCCCCAATCTAATGGTCAGACTGAGAGAATGAACAAGCAGTTGGAATCAACCCTTCGCTGCCTCACTTCAAACAATCCCGTGGACTGGAGCCAATTTCTCCCTTGGATAGAATACGCACACAACTCCCTCAGATCTGCATCCACCGGACAATCCCCGTTCCAGGAGAGTCTCGGCTATCAACCACCTCTTTTCCCCGCAGACGAGAGAGAGATTTCGGTCCAGTCCGTAAACCAACACATCCGCCGTTGCCAAAGAATCTGCAGAGAAACCATCGCCACCCTCAACCGGTCAACAGAGTCCAGTAAACGCTTCGCCGACGCCAGGAGACGCCCCGCCCCCGAGTACACTGAGGGCCAGGAGGTATGGCTGTCCACTCGAGACATTCCCCTCAAGGGAATGCTCTCTCCTAGGTTCATCGGGCCCTACAAGATCACTCGAGTCATCAACCCCTCAGCCGTCCGTCTCCAACTACCTCAGTCCCTCCGAATCCACCCTACCTTCCACGTGTCCCAAGTCAAGCCTGTCTCTTCGAGCCCTCTGTGTCCACCGTCCGACTCCCCACCACCCGCCCTGGAGGTCGATGGTCATCCGGCCTTCACTGTCCGTCGCATTGTGGACTCCCGTCGACGAGGTCGCGGATGGCAGTACCTCGTCGACTGGGAGGGCTACGGACCGGAGGATCGTCAGTGGGTTCCGGGCTCGTCCATCCTCGATCCTGCCCTTATCGAGGAGTACGAGCGTTCCTGCCCATCAACCTCTTCCGGACCGCCAAGGGGCGGTCGTTGAGGGGGGGGTACTGTTGGGAGCTGGAGAAATTCCACCTTTCTCCAGCAGAGTCCGCCGTGGATCCTCTGAGGGAGCCTCCTGCACAGCTGCAGCTCATCAAGATCATCAGAGGATCCACTACTTAAGCTGTCTTCAGACCTTGCCTCAACGCCGCAGTGTTGTTCCAGTTGGTCAGCGCTTAAGCCTAGATCCTCAGTGTTACTCTATGACTTTTGAATCCAGCTTGGATTCTAACCCTTGTCTCTGTCTTCCAGGAAACCTGTGCCTCCTCTGTGAAAGCTCAGGAAGAGCTAACCTGCCGAGCCGACCCTCAGAGCCAAACCTGAAGAATCACAGAGAACTTCCAAGCAGCTCTGGACTACAGCTGGGAAACCCTAAACCAAGGTCTGTTCATATTAGACGTGAGACGCTGAAGCAGTAAACGGACTCTGCTGATGAACTCTTCTCCAGATCCAACAGAGACCCTCCCAAAGCTAACCTCAAGAACCCTCAAGGTACTATCAGTAAACTTCAGGAAATCAAACCTCTGTTGGCAACGCTAACTGAACTGTCTCTCACGCAGACTCCGGTGAACCAGTATCTAGGCCCCGAACCTGAACCAGTATATTCTGTGTGCTTATGCATCAATAAACTTGTTAAACTTTCATCCCTGTGTCCGTCAGTGGTGTTCTGCATTCTTGGGTCGCTTTTAGTGAACCCATCATGTCAAATTTGGGGTTTTATTTGTATTCAGCTCCACACATTGAACCACCTTTCAGTCCAATTGCAGCTGCATGTGTTTTACATTACCCATGTCCACCAGTCTACGACATCTAGAGTAAAATATTTGGGAAAAACTCCTGATCTTATTTTTTCACATCCCCTGCCACCTATTTTAAAAGCAAATTTAAAATTTTTGTTCTGGACTTTTGATGGGTTATTCCTACACATAAATATGACCCCCTTTCACCTCTTGCTTTTTAGGTTTTCTGTTTTACAGGCAATTGCACCTCAGGCCCAGTTTCAGGTTTCTCTAAACTCTACAAAGTTTTATTATATTAAGTTCCGTTTTTCCATCAGCAATAACAAACTTATCTGACCCTGCTGACGAAAAGCATCCCACAGCATGATGCTGCTCCCCCCATGGTCTGTTCAGAGCAATGAGTATTATCACACCTCCAAAGAGTTCTTCTCTCTCTTCCACATATTTCCTGTATTCCATGCATATGGCTTGCAGAAAAAATTTAAACAAGGTTTATTTTTTCTTCTTCCTCTCTCTTTGCTTGTCTAATTGTTCTCCAGCCAAGATATTCTCCCACAATGTTTTGCAGCTCCTCCAGAAATATGGGTGTCTTGCATTGCCGTGTCCATGTGAAAGGAGAATGCAACAGGTAGATTCATTTTACTAATTGGTAAAAGGTGAAATAAAATAGTTGTTTGATTTGGTAGCAATGCATATCACAGTTTTCTTTTTTTTTTCTTTTTTTTTATCAGCAAAACCTTATAAATCCAAACCTGTAAAGTCCCTCTAAACTGTCATTTGGTTTGTGGTTATACACAAAAGGAAAAACCAAACCAGTAAACTCTAAAAAAAAAAAAAAAAAAAAAAAAAGTTGGCAGAAATCAAAATGGTCTTTAACTTCATAATTTAAGTTTTAAAGTTCCAGACTTTGAATTCTATGTTATTCTAACTTGAAATTGTGTTTTTTCCAACTTATGTGAAAGTAGAGGGGAACCAAAGGTCATGATTTATCTGCAAATCTTAATGTTCTTACTTAAAAATCATATTTTTAATCAGAGATTATTGGTCTTTAGAAGGGAGCATCTGTTATCTATATACCTGGATATACTGTATATATATTGTTTATTCTTAATTTACCTTTTTCCTCCTTGTTTGCACCTTCTTCAACTTCTATGCCAATATGTGACAAGTGAATTTCTCCGCTGGGAGATCAATAAAGCTCATCTAATCTAATCTACCATGTATCAAAATGTTTATTCTGTTGTAGGGACACTAGAAGTCTGAGCTTTGAACCTCCAGACTTCATGGTTGGAGGTTCTGATGCTAAAGAGATGCTGCTGGTCAAAATCCAGGAATTGGAACCTCCAATTTAAAATCCAGGTTCCAATTCCTGGATTTTGACCAGCCGCATCTCTTCAGCATCAGTTTGAACAGTAGAAGAACATTAAGTCTCCAACTCGAAATCCATCTCCAAAAGTTGGTTTTCCCACATTTTAGAACAAAAAATTCTCCTTTTGAAATAACCAACACCTCAAAGGTTTAAGAAGCTAAGGGCAACCCACTTGATGAAGTTCAAGATCACAACTATACCTTATATTTAGCAAAAATATATATATATATTCATTTGTTAACAGTGCAGAGTCTAAATGATTTTTAAGTTTGGACGTTTTATTTGTGTTTTGATAGGTGACCGTTTTGGGAGCAGCCTTGTTATAATGCCATTTAACTGGGGTTGCCTAAGTAAATCATTTGGACCAATTAGGGTTTGTTTTATGGAGTCCCACGGCTGTAATTAGGATTTCCACTGTCCGTGGTATTTTCATAAGGTCTGCCTGGAACCAAGCACAACTTTTAAAGCTCAGAGGTCAGAGGCCTATTCATATCTCATCCCTCCCTCCTTCCTTCCCAGGAATAATGCGGAATTGTGCCAGCCTCACTCACCAACCCTGAAGCCCTGTCCGATCAGCGTGTCTGCGCCCTGGCCGTTCTCTGCGATCAGCGTGGTGTTGTTTCCCTGCTCGCACCTATCCTGGCACTGACCCTTCAGGCAGATCCGCTTGCAGATGAGGGGCGCGATGACCACCTTGAAGCGCTCCCGTCCGGAGGCGCGCTCTGCGCACCACACCAGCCTGTGCACGCTCAGCCAGAGGACGAGCAGATGGGAGATCATCAGGCAGGGCATCCTGGCATCCTTCACTGCCCCGCGCAGAGATCCCAGGACATGAAATCTGTGGGCTTCAGCTCCAGCTCAGAGGAATCCCACTTTGTTATCCGATAGGGGGGAGAAAAAACTTTTACGTGTCCTACGGCGCGCAAAAAGCGCGTCCTGTACCTCTGTTATCTTCCTTAGGAATCTTTTTTTTTTTTTAAGTTAGTCCCTTTGCGTATTACTCCGTAAAACTGCCACGTTTGCCATCCTTGGAAGTTTCCCTTTGCGCACAGAAAAGTTGCTGCGGCTCCTTCTCGCTGATCTCTTCCTCCTTTTTTCGCCTTGCTGTGTTGGAGAGTTGGAGAGGACTGGTGCGTCTGAGGGTTTGGGAGAGAAAGAAGGGAGGAGAGGTGTAGGGGAGGGAGCCAATCCTCTCTGGAGAAAGTGCGCTGCAGGCTGGCCAGGCGCTGCAGAAGCGCTTTCCTTTACTGGTTCTTCCTCTCAGGACCTCCCCCCTCTGCTCCTCCACAGATCACAGTGTGCAGCACTCTGACTCACAAAAACTGTCGTCAGCCACTGATTTACAGGAGCTGGTCATAAAATTAGAATATCATGAAAAAGTAGATTGATTTCAGTAATTCCATTTAAAAAGTGAAACTTGTATATTATATTCATACATTACATACAAACTCATATATTTCAGATGTTTATTTTGTTTAATTTTGATGATTACAAATGACAACAAATGAAAATCTCAAATTCATCATATCAGAAAATTAGAATATTGTGAAAAGGTTCAAAATTGATGGCCCCTGGTGCCACACTCTAATCAGCTAATTAACTCAAACCACCTGCAAAAGCCTTTAAATGGTCTTTCAGTCTAGTTCTATAGGCTACACAATCATGGGGAAGACTGCTGACTTGACAGTTGTCCAAAAGACGACCATCGACACCTTGCACAAGGAGGGCAAGACACAAAAGGTCATCGCTAAAGAGGCTGGCTGTTCACAGAGCTCAGTGTCCAAGCACATTAATAGAGAGGCGAAGGGAAGGAAAAGATGTGGTCGAAAAAAGTGTACAAGCAAGAGAGATAACCGCACCCTGGAGAGGATTGTGAAACAAAACCCATTCAAAAATGTGGGGGACATTCACAAAGAGTGGACTGCAGCTGGAGTGAGTGCTTCAAGAACCACCACACACAGACGTATGAAAGACATGGGTTTCTGCTGTCGCATTCCTTGTGTCAAGCCACTCTTGAACCACAGACAGCGTCAGAAGCGTCTTGCCTGGGCTAAAGAGAAACAGGACTGGACTGCTGGTGAGTGGTCCAAAGTCATGTTCTCTGATGAAAGTAAATTTTGCATTTCCTTTGGAAATCAAGGTCCCAGAGTCTGGAGGAAAAGAAGAGAGGCACTTCATCCACGTTGCTTGAAGTCCAGTGTAAAGTTTCCACAGTCAGTGATGGTTTGGGGTGCCATGTCATCTGCTGGTGTTGGTCCATTGTGTTTTCTGAGGTCCAGGGTCAACGCAGCCACATACCAGGAAGTTTTAGAGCACTTCATGCTTCCTGCAGCTGACCAACTTTTTGGAGATGCAGATTTCATTTTCCAACAGGACTTGGCACCTGCACACAGTGCCAAAGCTACCAGTACCTGGTTGAAGGACCATGGTATCCCTGTTCTTAATTGGCCAGCAAACTCTCCTGACCTTAACCCCATAGAAAATCTATGGGGTATTGTGAAGAAGAAGATGCAATACACCAGACCCAACAATTCAGAAGAGCTAAAAGCCACTATTAGAGCAACCTGGGCTATCATAACACCTGAGCAGTGCCACAGACTGATCGACTCCATGCCACGCCGCATTGCTGCAGTAATACAGGCCAAAGGAGGCCCAACTAAATACTGAGTGCTGTACATGCTCATACTTTTCATGTTCATACTTTTCAGTTGGCCAACATTTCTATAAATCCTTTGTTTTTATTGGTCTTCAGTAATATTCTAATTTTCTGATATGATGAATTTGAGATTTTCATTTGTTGTCATTTGTAATCATCAAAATTAAACAAAATAAACATCTGAAATATATGAGTTTGTATGTAATGTATGAATATAATATACAAGTTTCACTTTTTAAATGGAATTACTGAAATCAATCTACTTTTTCATGATATTCTAATTTTATGACCAGCACCTGTAAGACTTGATGCACCTTTCTGTTGAAGTTCATATGTTTGAAAATTTAAGAGTATTACAGCAGAGGCTTAGAAAGGGCCCTGAAACACTGGGGGCTTTACCCAACCCAGATATACTACAGGACATGCTGTACTTTCTCTGCACACTGTGGGATTTTAAATGCATTAAAATCAACCAGATGTAAACACTTCTGTTTTATGCCAAAGTGTAGGTGTCTGTTTAGGGCAAATTGGGGCCCCACGGACCCCTAGAAAAATGCTAAGTTGATATTTTCTATATAAATGCAAAGTAGCAAAAACATACAACATCATGCAATTGTGCTTTTTTTTATTTCAATAGATATTTAATCATGTAGAAATCATTACTTATATATAAACATGACTAGATTGAGGATCAGACATGGAAGGACCAGTGTAAACATTTCGAAAATTATCTTTGAAGAACACCCTGGTAGTCACACTTCTATACACTCCTTATTTTAACTTAATGCAAAATGTGCTGTTTATGTCTTTCTTTTAAGCATGTTCGAAATGATTAAACTTATCTAAGCTACACTGATAATGATGAGATGCATCATTATCAGAAAATCTTTCAGACATCTTAAAGCTCAAATTAACCCATCCCTCTCTCAATGTTAAGTCTTAGTTCTGTTAAAATCTATGGGTAGCTTTTTTTTTCCTTCTCCACTGTTTACATTGATCCTGGCTGCACTAAATGGAATGTTCATTTACTACCTGAAAAGCTGTACTAAACGAAATGTCCTTTTATATACACCCTGTGTATATACAAAATTACAATAAAAGTTGTCTAAGTCTATTAGGTTGAACTCTCCCTGTGACTTTAGCATCTGCAGAGCTTAGCTTTTCCAAACTGAAGGACTGAGATCTTCTATGGTGGAGAAATTGTTAAGTGGGCTGGCGATTATTATTATTATGTACAAAGCATTCAATTCAATTCAGTTTATTTACATAGCACCAATTCAAAACACATGTCATCTCAAGGTATTTTACAGAGATAATACAGGCAGATCATAAAGTCAAACTGGTTGACAGCTTTCCATCTAAGGAAAACCAGTTGATTGCATCAACTCTTTAGCATTCCGTCACATCAAGCATGCTTGTAGCAACAGTGGAGATAAAAAATGCTTTTTAACAGGAAGGAACCTCCAGCAGAACCAGGCTCAGAGTGAGCAGCTGTCTGCCAAGGCCGACTGGGGACCAAGGAGACAGAAGCAGACATACAGAAAGAAGCAAAGATACAAAAGGCAACTGTCAACCAGCACCACAGGCAGCCCCCTCCAGGAAACACTCAGCCAGGCAAACAAGCTCCGAGGCAAACAAGCTTGGCCATTTAAGGCTTTATATGTGAGGAGGAGGATTTTAAACTCTGTTCTGGATTTAACAAGAAGACAATGAAGAAAAGCTGGGATAGGAGAGATATGATCTCTCTTTTTAATTTTCTGTCACGTTTTGGTTGTGGTTTAGAGGACCCAAATGCAAAGGCAGAGAAGCTGAGTTGATTTCTTATAGTTTTAATGATGAAAGCAGTTAACAAAGGCAGGAATCCAACTAAAAATGTAACACAGACCAGAACCATGGTGACATCAGGGGAAAACACGCACAAGGAGCCAGAGAGAGACGAGGTGAGCAGAGAAAAGCAATGACAGGACCAGCAACAACAAGGAGTGACAGCAGAGGGAGAGTATATGTAGCTGACTGAGACAAAGGCAGGGCTAACGAGCTGACAAGGAGCAGGTGTGAGAGGAGACAACGAGGGAGCCAAGGGGAAAGGAACACACACAAGAGGGCAACAGAGGAAAACAACAGAAAACCTGAGAACAATAAAGAATAAATCTAGAAACTACAACAAAATAGGAATTAACTTCCTGATAGTAATGAATTACAATAGTCCAGCCTTGAAGTAACAAATGTATGGACTAGTTTCTCAGCATCACCCCTGGACAGGATATTTCTAATTTTTGCAATATTGCGCAGATAAAAGAAGGAAATTCTAGAAACCTCCTTGATATGAGATTTAAATGACAGGTCCTGATCAAAATTAACACCAAGATTTTGTACTTTATTATCTGAAGTCAGTTTAATCCCATCCAAATGAAGTGACTGACTAATTAGCTTATTTTTCAAAGACTCTGCTCCAACGACAATAACTTCTGTTTTGTCTGCATTCAGGAGCAGAACGTTAAGATTCATGCAGGTTTTTATGTCTTCAGACATGCCTGTAATCTTTGTAATGGGTTAGCTTCATCTGGATTTATAGACAGATATAGCTGAGTATCATCAGCATAACAGTGGAAATTAATCCCATGCTGTCTAATAATTCTACCTATTGGGAGCATATATAGTAAAGAGAATTGGTCCTAGCACTGATCCCTGTGGTACTTCACAGGTAACCCTGGAGCATGAAGAGGTTTATTATTATCGTGAACAAACTGAAATTGGTCAAATAGATACGATTTAAACCAAGCTAGTGCTGTTCCCTTAATTCTTTAATTCTTGATTCTTTCTTAAATATTTATCATGATCAACTGTATCAAATGCAGCAATGAGATCTAACAGGACAAGTACAGATACAAGTCCATTATCTGAGGCCATGAGAGTATCATTAGCGACTTTTGCCAGGGCTGTTTCAGTGCTATGATGAGCTCTAAAACTAGATTAGATATATTTCTTTAGTTGATCAAGTCATCTGGGTCAATAGATGGTTTCTTAAGTAAAGGTTTATTTTCAGCTACATGTCCCTGTAACAAGGATAGGTTAATCACATCTTAAATAGAGGTTGAAATCAGAAGGAATTTTCCCTTCAATTCTTCTTTTTTTCTTTTTTTTTTTTTTTTTTTTTACAGATGTTGTAGGTGATGATAGTTGTAGGCAGGAAGGATCTTCTGTATCAGTTTCTTCTTAAATTGATGCTCACTGCTTTCCATAATGTTCTTTACTTTATGAAGAATTCTTCTTTGTGAAATAATCTCCAGAGATTCTAGAGTAGTCCCTCGAACAGAGCCAGCCTTCTTAATAAGCTTGTTGAGCTTTTTTAAGTCGTAACCTCTGATGCTGTTACCTCAGCACTAAGGATGGAAGAAGAGATCACACTCTCCACAACAGACTTATAGAAGATATGTAGCATCTCTCTGCAAATACAGAAGGACCTAAGCTTCCTTTGGAAGTACAATCTGATCTGTCCCTTCCTGTAGATGGCTTCACAGTTGTCTCCAGTCTAGT